AAACTTTAGGACAGCCATCCTGTCTTCCCTAGGCTTTCACAGGCATTGTCAACACCTACCTTTGATTATATTTTGGCAGTTGTGCACGCTAGAATCAAAGTGAATGTCTAAGTCTCAACTGATTTAATTCATTAGTGAATATTTTCTAAGGCAATGCACATTCGTGTTGGCACAGGTAGTGCAGCACGTACTTCAGTGCAGTGCCAGCTGCAGATTTCAGAGAGCTCAGTTTGCAGCCTGGATGTGTTGTTATGACACCGTTTTTCCATGTGCTATTTGGTTTACAAGGAGCTCTGCCAAGCGATGTGCTGTGGTCTGGGAGCAGCGTGGGATCCCCTGCCTGCTCCAGGAATGCTTGGAGGGAGCCAGGCTGTGCCCACCCTCACACCTGGGGACTGTCACAAAGCTGTCACAGGGAGTTTTCACAGCACTGCATGTGTCATTTTGAGTCTTGTGGAACACGATTTGGGGGATCCCATGCAAAAACCAGAGCTGGTGCTGGCTCAGCAAAATGACAGGCTCGGCTCTGCCAGAGAGAGGAGAGAGGACACAGGCTGCCACCTGCCCGTGGGGACACGCGTGGGACAGACACACGGACACAGGCTGCCCTCTGCCTGCGGGGACAGGCAAGGACAGCCCCCGCTACCCAGCGTGGCTGCTCAAACAAGTTTAAAGGAGCTTAAATCTGAAGAGATGCGGGTGGGAAGTTTAAAAATATCAAGTTATTTAGTGAGCACTGTGCATCCTTGGATAAATGAGGGGACACTGTCTGGTATGAAGTTAGCTGCTGCTCCACTCGCTCCAAGTACAGGAATAGGTGTTGTCCTTGTGTCTTAGACACACACCTGGAACCCCCAGACCCTTTGGGGCAGCCCAGGTAGATCATGGCCATCCTTCCCACGGGCTGCAGTGACGGCCCCGGTCCCCGCCCAGCCCAGCAGAGCCGGGTGCCGGGGCACAGCCAGCCCCCACAGGGACAGAGAGTGCCATGCCCGGGGCCTCCCTGTGCTTCACAGCAGCTTGAGGAGTACCATAAAACATTCCCTGCAGCTTCAGCTGTCCCAGAGAAGTCTGGAGAGCAATTTTCATGTAGTTTTAAGGAAGGACTTGGAAAAGACCAAGAAACATAAACCTTCCAATACTGATAATCTGGAGAATGTATCAATCCTGTCACTGACTCTAGGATAAACATGCAGGAAATGAAACTGGGTATTTCTGTTTCATCAGCTTCTTGTTCATCTCCAAGAGACATACAGGTAGATTCATCCTGTCCTACAGGCAGCCAGTCATATGGACACCACTGTGGGAAGATGCAGGGGAGACAGGGTCAGTGATCTCTGTTCTGCATGCCCCAGGAGTGTGGGATGCTCAGTGCTGGCTCTCCAATGTCTGCGCGCTTGGTTACCTCCTGTCAGTGCTTTTTGTCACTTACTCCTCTCCTGTATTTGTTCAGGACCTATTTTTCCAACATCCCTTTGGTCACAGACATTTTTTGCTGGCTCCCTACTAGGATGAAAATAAATTGGACTTTATCACAACTGCTAGTATATCCAGGGAGCAAGAGGCCATTGCCTCTTTGTATAAAGTGATGGGAAAGGGCTCTCTAGCACTCTGAAAGCTTTAAAAACCTTGCTTTCAGTTTGGAAGGGAATTTCAACTAAAACCACTGAAAAGGTCTTCAGAAAACGCTGACTGCATGTTGTTTTGTGATTGTTCCCAAATCCCTCATAATTCTCAACCACAGCTTTGTGCTAGAGGCTAGATATGCATGGTGGGTGTTTTTGGTCTTGCTAGCAGTGGGATAGCAGGAATGTGAGCTTCCCTTTGATGTCCAGACTCAAAGTATTGACTACAGTATGAGAGGGATGTGAGTTTTGAGGTTGTATTTTCCCTCAAAACAGGAAAACTGCCAATCTCCGAGGCTTTTCCCAATACTCTTTTATTCTTTTCACAAATTTGTTGGTATTTTTTTTCCTTTTCTCTCCTTCATACAGGAAATAAGCCTGAACTCTCACACTTCAATATGCTTGTCATGCTATCTGTGCAGAAGCATTTCAGACTCCTTGTACTGAGAACTTAATTTCTCAGCCATGTCTTTTCAAGAACTGGCAGCCTGCAGAAACACCTTGAAAATTATTTATTTCATATTGCAGCAGTCCTGTATACTAGAACTGTCTTTAACCATTCCTGTGTTCTTCTGGTACGATATTACAACACAATATTGGTTTTTTTTCTGTCATCTTCAGGTGTTTGGTTTGCTTGCAGAGCAGCTGTAACTGCACTGCATTTTGCAGCATGGATGAACAGTTGGTGTGGGTGTGCACAGCAAAACAACCCTTGGAATTTCTGAACAAACATCTCACACGTGGGCACTTTCAATTTGCAGGGAACTTGAGTAAGATCATCCCCCTGGCCTTTTTTTCTATGTTCCTGTTCTTCTATTGTAGTTATTTTAAAATAACAATTGTTTTGGGTGTACTATTTGCATGACACATGACATTGTTTTGCTAAATTTTGGCTTCCTGAAGAGAGAACTTTTCCTTTTCCAGTAATTTGCTTTTTAGAACGTGACAAGTCATTCCCTGGGCAAGTTTCTCTTTCAGTTTTCACTTGCTTTTCTGATGCTGTGTTTCTGTAAAGCAGGGGAGTTTGGGCTTTGGTTTCATTTTTCTTATACAGCCTAGTTTGAAAATTATGTCAGAAGCGGGAGGCAATGGGAATTGGGATGTGCTGCTGTAGGCCAGCAGAACTAAACCACCTTCAGTCCCTGGTCCAATTACTCTAAGCTTGATCCAGCTCTGCCCTGCACTGCTGACTGCAATGCAGACACATACAGACTCCTTTGGAAAAGTAACTGCACAGTATAATCAGTCCTCCTATTTGATGCAGAGTGTTACATTTAAAAACAAAAAATTATGATGTATGCTAGCCACCTGAGTCAATGGCAGTGTGAGCTGAGCCCTGCAGACCTCTCCTGAACAAAATCTGACTCATTGCTCAGGGACTTTTTTTAAACCATCCTTTTTATACTGAGGTTGGGGAATTCCAGTGTGATGAAAGATAAATTATCATTTTATTTCTCTGTCAGAAATTTATGAGGTTTGGTGGCTCTGTTTTAAGATGACTGTAGTTCAGATTGGTCAGTTCCTTGCTCCCCTGGGACCCTGGGAGGTGGACCACCTTCATTTCTGCTGGCCAGATGCTTCACTTGGAGAGACAAAGCCAGAAGCCAAGGGAAGAAAAAGTTGAAGTCAAGCATCTGCCAACACAGCTTTAAGCTATATTCATGCCTTCCTGAATGGGACATGCTATAGGGAGCAGCCTATCTACCAGGGCATGTGAGAGCATGGAGCTCTCCTTCGTTACTTCCTGTCTTGGCTGTGCTTCTACACAACTGCATCCTACAGAAGATGGCACACCTGACCCCACTGCTGGGCTGCTTTTCTGAAAAGCAGATATTTTATTCTCTTGGGTATGTGTATGATATTTTATTCTCTTAGATATGTGGACCCTGGCCAAAACAGGACCAGGAACAACACATTTTCATGGTGTGTCAGAGCTGTGCACAGTTAGCATAGGTACAGGCCATTCACACAGTGCCAGGTGTAATCAGTCCATGGATGCACAATTTGGCCCAGGGCTGTTAAATCATCTTACTGCAGCAGCCTGAAGGTTTTCCTTCAAAAAGCAGCACAGTGTGTGGATTTTGGCAATATAGCAGTGGATTATATACTTAGGAAAATACAGCTAGATTAGAGGCTCCAAAGTGGGGTGGAAGGTTTTTCTGACTGCTTAGCATGGAAGGTGCTTAAGAGCTGTACAACATGCACTGGTTCTGGGCAAAATGTGCTCTGTGTCATTGAGATCTTTAACAGGTCAAGTCTATGAAACAGGTAATGAGTTCAAAGCTACATCCTGACTTTCCTTTAGGCTCCTGCTTGATGCCATGCACAGATTTTAGCTGTTTCTATGTATTGCCTTCCCAGGTACTTCACTTCCAACTACGTGGCATTTTGGAGGAGCTCCACATGGCTGTGGGCACCCAGCATTGGCAGGGGTTGATTGCCAGCCTCTGGCATCCTGTGGCCAGCCTTTCCTTGCCTTTCCAGGTCCTGTGGTGTCAGCCCTGGGACCCTACCCCACAGACCCAACCCTGGTGGGCAGGTGAGAGCCAGCCCAGGTAGCTCTCTTCCTGTTTTGGCTGAGTCCTGGTAGTGGCTGGAGTTGTTCTCCAGGGAACTGATGACAGAACCAATGAAAGACATCTTTCTTACACTGTAATCTGGAAAAATCAAACCTTTCTGGTGAAGTCTCCCCTTCTGTTGAAAGACTTTGTGAGATTTGCACAAATGAGTGTGTGAAAGGGAAAGGCCTCACAGCAAAGTTGCCAGGACTATACTGGTCCTTCGAATTTAGGAGTCGAGTCTTCTGCACTTGGTGATGGAATAAAGGTAAGGTGTTTTTTCATGAGAATGATCTCCTTAATTCTGATTTGCTAACCTGAGTAAAAACAAACTCAAACAAAGCATCTATATACTGCATGATAAGAAAGACAGAAGTCATGTTTTATGCAGATTTTTTTTAATGAAGAAGATGCTTTCATTGTATCAATTTCTGCATTAGAAAAGCATCATACACTCTGAAGGCTGCATTCCAGAAATGATGTTGTGCTGCTGACCCTATTAACCCCATGCTCCTATCTCTCTGAAGGTTTCAAACATTAGAAGAGGCTTACAAACATTGCTGAGAACAACAGAGATAATTATTTTTACCTAGAACCGAGAGCTTCTAGTATAGAAAACTTGCACACATATACAAAACTCCATATACACACAAGTGCTTTCATGAAAAATAGAAATTGTATTTGCAGCAGAGTAGAATCTACACTGCAACACCTGTATTTCAAATTAATCAGGTGTAAGGCAGGTAATGTTATTTTTTCAAGTACTCTTCCTGGTACACTTTGTAGACTCCTAACACCAGAGCTTTCCCTTTAAAAGAAAAGGAACAGCCTGCATTTTTAATGTATATAGAATGTTACACTGATTAAATAATGCAGGACAATGCATTTAAACAATTCCTTTTCTTCAAATTATAACTTCTTTCCTCTTGTAATGACTCTTATAGCTGGAGTCTTATATTGCACCTTTTAGCAAACAAGTCATAAAACTTCAAGTCCTTAACAACCAAAAAAGGCTAGAACTTTTTTTAAAGGAAAGATATTGCTGCAAAATTTGCAATTATTCCTTTTACATGTAATAACTTACTTGAGTTCAATCAGAACTGCCAGTGAAAATGTAATTTTAAAACTTTGCTGTTTACATTAGAGAAATACTCATTCAGAAATAAATTTCAAGTTACTCTGTGCAAAGTCTCTTCCAAACTAGCAGTAGAGGCTTTACTTAGCTCAGCACTCTCACTGTAAGGGTTTCCACCCTCCTGAAAGCTTTGCTCAGTGTCAGGATTACAAGACTGCCCCCCTTCCTGAGAGCTAGAAATAGCTGTCTTCAGTTTTTTCTCAATTTTATCAGCTACAGCACACATTTTTAACTCTCTCAGGCTCCTTATTAGGGTTTCATAGGCTCCCTTCATCCCATGACTTTGATACCAGACTCGAAACAGCCTAATCTTCTGTTCAGATGTATCACCAGGAAAATCCTGAATGCTTTGGTCTATGTCAGGTTCTGATACATTGCGGTGACGAACAAATGTCTTGACTTCTTTGAGTGTCATCTCTGCCACAATGCCAGGAATGTATCTGCTCAGGTCAACATCTAGGAGCAGGAAAGGAAATTAATGCACCTGGCTCTTTCATCTTACTGGGTTTTATCACCTGCACTCAGATTTGATACTTCTATCCAAAGCAGATTAAGTTTCAGGTATTTGTGACTCAGTATGGTTTAAGTGTGATTTTTTACAATACATGGCAGGTCTCTTTTTACAAAGTTCCTGCCAGATGCTAGGTATTTCAAAGATTCAGGCTTGAGGCCATATGGCTTTCTACCACCTAAAACAGTCTCAGTTCCCTCTGTAACCTATTCTGTCCTTCTCTATCATGGAAGTGTGGTCACCTCTCATGTACCCGTTTTTCACAAAATAGCATTGGGAGAGGTCATGAAACAGAACAGGTTTTCTGTTGTGATACAGTCTTGGAGCTTATCTTTTTTCCTGATGTGTACAACAGGTTTGTGAATCTTCAATCCCATTCTGGACTGTTCCCCTGTCATAAATATCCATGGTTATAGAAACACTTTGCTGTTTCCTAGTGTCTGTACCACATGCAGAACTGAAATTCACTTGTAGACAATGCGTGATTGCTCCCTATACAACAGAAATTCCTCCTGAGGCAAGATTTCCATGATGCCACTAAGTGCCTTGATGAGCATTATATGAACTGGCACTTCTTTAGCAAGTGTTCACTTTTGTGCTGGCATGACAGGTCTGGACAGTGGCAAAGTCTACACAAAAATACTCTGTTTTTTTTTTTAGTTTAGGATTTTTTTATCTGTATCTGTTTTTTCTTTCTACTGAATTTTGATAAATTGTTTCTTACCTTCAACTATAAGAGGTATATCCACCTGAAAAAAAAAAGAAGAGAAATAAGTAGAAACAACATTTGTAAAATCCCACACTTATCTAAGAGGATAAATACATTTCATGATAAATCTTTTATTTTCTTTTAGTTTTCTCCAGGATTCCTGTTTTATGAATGGGAGAGTCAGACCAGACAGACAGACCTCTTTTGACTTGGGTAAGTTTGGGGAATCGCCTCCTAATGCCTAGAATTATGCATGGGGACAGAAGCATCCTGGGTTGATGGAGGCCTGATGATTTGTGAAGTTTTGATCATGGTTATGTGATTTTGGAAGCATTCCAACAATCCTGAAGAAGTAATACAGGGTTTCTCTTACTTCTCCCAAAAGAATTCTTGTGGTGAAATTTACTTCATTCATGTCATAGAAGAAAGGCACACAAATATTTGGGGAGACCCAGTGCAATTTAAATGGAAAACAGTTCTTTGCATAAAGCTGAGTTTTTTATGATCAAAGCAACAATACTTACATGCTCTCCTTCGTAAACTCCATTACCTGGATAATTGATTATAAGATCCTTCTGTTTTCTTCTCTTGTCTGAAACAAAAAAAAGCATTTTTAAAATTTAGGGTAGGATATCTCTCCTTTGGACTCCAAGAATATAAAATTATATTTGAAGCATCTGAATACCTCATTCAGAGTATAATAGGAATAAATAGGGAATCACTTACACCAGACTATCGCTCCAGCTATTATTGATAGTATTGATAGTAGCACTACCCCAGCAATGATCAACCCCAGCGTTGCTGGATCTGTTGGAACTTTGGAAAATTTGCATGAAAGTTAAGTCAAGAAATGCAATACAGCAGCACACCAAATTTTCAACAAGACTGTGTCAGGTTTTAAAAGCCCTCCTAACACAAAAGCCAAATATGTTAAATACATAACCTATGGTGAGCTGCCCCTAAAAAGGGGTAACAGCGCCTACACCTGCACAGTGATCAAGGGAAAATCATATTCTGCAGGTCAGTAGAGGGAACAGTGAGCTGTCACGAATTACTATGGCCAGTGTGTAGAACAGGACAATTGCAATTGCCTCTCAAAATACAGCACGTGCTGCACCTTGCTATGTTTTAATTGGTACCTTTGGTTCCACACACAGTGTCTGAAGCTGCAGTACATTGCTCTTCAATTACACCGCTTTCACATCTGCAGAAAATATGAACACAAATTATTAGGGGATGTTTTTTTCTCTCTTAAGCTGTTCAGAGAGCAAATTAAATCTTCTGAGATGCTTTATCAGCAAAATATTTCACATTTTGCTGATAAATATGCTAGTTTCATATTCTAAATTCCTGATCTTGGGGTTTGGAATTTAGTAGGTATGAAAATGACATGAAAATTTGTGGCAGTGGGAAAACATATGAAATTATATTTCAAAGTAACAGTAGATCACACAAAGACAACAGGAAAGCTCAGATACTTTATTAGACTTTTGAAAAGCATATGCAGACTCAGTGGATACATAATTTTTTCTGCATGCTTTTGGAAAGCCTTCATGGCTGCAAATTGAGTTGACTGAACTCAGTCAGCTCAGGTGCAAAGGAAAATTTGTATGCCTTCCCCGAGGTTATAGATTACCTTAGCCTCTGCCTTGAAACCATTTGGAAAAAAATGTGATTACATATTAACAATTGCATATGTAGTGATGAAGGCATGAACTTACATGGTACATGGAAAGCAAGTGTCACATCCTGTAGGACTGCAGAAATGGTTCTTTGCACAGGCACACTGCGCGTCCTCTTCTGGGGTACAGTTCTTCACAAACTCCAGCCCTAAAAACAGATGTCTTAAGTGTACTAGTCTGAAAAAGCAGGCTTCTGCCCACAAAGTCCTGTCCTCAGACTTGCTTCACCTCTGCTGGAACTGGCGAGGCTTAGCTTTATAATACACACACGGAGCTTTTCTAAGGAGCTGGGCTGGCAGAGCTGCCAGAGAGACCTCTGCTGGACGGGAGCGCAGAAAGCTCATCCATCACACAGTGCAGCTCTAGAACTCATCACACAGTGCAGCTCTGAAACTCATCACACAATGCAGTTCTCTTCAGGAGAGAAATCCTAAGCCAAATCCTAACTTTTTTCCCATTTAGTCATGTAAACTTCTGAGTTTCCAGAAGGAAACTCACAAGATCACACAGCCAATCTCCCTACTTGATAATGGAGATGGGTTCTTTGCACTCCCTGACAGACAACAAGTTTTACCTTTTCTTGAAGACCTCCAATGATGGGGAATTCCACTGTCTCTTTTTTGGCTAACATATCCATGTTAAGTATTCCTCTTAAAAATCAAAACAAATTATTAATTTTCTCCTCTCCTCAGTTTATATGATAATGCTATCTCCATCCATGAAAAAAATACTTCTGCATTAAAAATTACTGTATCTACCTACTATGAAAGCTATTTTCATAGGCATATAAAAACAGAACAAAATTTTGAGTTACTACATTCAGGGCCCTGCTGTAATTTGAAACTACTTAATATTTCAAAATTTGATAAAGCTCTACTGTAACATCAGTGCTAAAGTAACTCATGGAAATAGTGAATATGAATGATCATAAGAATGGTTCACAGGGAACTTCAGTGGTAATTTTCCTCTTGCCTATTGTCAGTCTACTGACTTCTCTTCAGCTGCATTACTGTCTGTGGAATATTTGGGCTAGCCATTACCCTTTTCGTCCCTTCAGTTTTAATAATTGTGACACATATAAAATACTGAATTGTTCCACTCTTACCAATTTCATCACCCACACAAAAATGCTTATTATAACAGAAAATGAGAGGAAAGTTTCCTATCCATATTGAAGTCCTAAAGGGGAGAGCACTGAAGATTGATATTCCAACAGGCGATCTGAGTACACCCATATTGGAGTTGAGAACTGTCTGTCCATTCACTAAACCTAATTTTGGGTATGAGGAATGAAGAACTGATGTTCCCTAAATCCAAGCAGAGGACATCTACAGGATGTCTGGTGGAACTGGTAGGAGATGAGTTTAATGGAATTAAAAAAAAAAAATCTGTGATGGGTATTTATGCAACAGGTAGTGAATTTCTGCTGTCACCCAGCAGGTTCACGAACAGAGGGCTCGTAAATAGACACTGAAATGACTGGGTAGGGAGAGATCTTCCAGTGTCCTTTCCCTCAGCTGTGGATGCTGACAGACTGCAGGGCCCAGAGCATGGAAAGCAGACAGGTTGGTTTGTGTTATCCCTGAACAGCCCCTCGTGCCTGCACTGCTGACTGCAGAGCCCTGGCTGGGTGAGCCCCTGCTCTGGCCCAGGAGGGCTGGCCTCACAGCCTGACACACTGTCCCAAACTGCATCCTGAGTGTCTTTCAAAAGACAACAATCAGTTTTAAAGAACATTATCAATCTGTGAAACGCTATTAAAAAATCATTACTTTTTATATCCCTCTTTTAAACAGCGGGTGAAGAAGAGGGAGAACTTGCCTTCCTTGACTCTAGCCAGTTTGTACAGTGGCAGCTTAGCAAGGACTTTGGCTAAGCAAAGGCAGATATTTGGAGAAATAATGGACCAACTATTTGTCTTCCTACTTTGTGCTTGATGAAAGGGAGCTGGAGGATAAACTTACTACTTTCTCACAAATTCATTCATGTCCTACCACTAAAAGTTTTGATTCTGCGTGCTAACCACGACTAGGTATTGTGGAGACTATTCAGTGAAATCCTGCGTGAAAGAGGAGTCATTGCTACAGTTGCTATTTCTATTGACTTACCAAAGTGGCTGTCACACCATTTGCATCTAAAACACTCGTCTAAGTCATTGGGGTGATCCATGAATTCCTTTCCTTTCTGACATGGAGCACAGTGTTTGGTAACATCTGTTGGGCAGGAGACATTTTTAACAAAACCTGTAGAGACAGAAAACCAACAATTTAGAGAGCAGCCGCCAGCTCTAAGACTAACATCAGAATTTCATTTTTAATCCCAAATACTTTTGATTCCAAATATGGAATGTATATTCTTTGTGCATGTGTAGATGCACTCCAGGAATGTAGTATACATAACTTTTGATTATCCCCACTCTTCCTCCAATTTAATACTGAAGGAGAACACACTAAACAAAACTACATGGAAAATTGGAAAACCCACAAATGTATGGAATCCTGAAGGCAAAAGCATGTTTCACTTTTTCAACCTTTTTCAAATATGTGCATGTTAATTCTTGGCTCTTTTGTAACATGCACGTTATGAGACAACTACTCTTTGTAGTGAGAAGTTATTGGTGCATTGAACTTAAGAAATATCTTTGAAGTGCCCAATGTCCTGTAACAAAACAAAGGTACAGCTGGAATGAAGCACTGCATCCAGGAAACCACCTCATGCCACTCCAGTATCCCAGCACAAAGCAATGTGCTTGCTCTGGTGTCCCCTGTTAATGACTTCTCAAAACACATCATACTCACCACTTCTACATTTCTTGCAACACTGAGTATCTAAATTGTATTCATCCTCCTGGCAGTAAACATCCCTCTTGGAAATGATTCTCCTATTGGATGTTATTAGAGCTTCAGTATCATTTTTGCACTGTGTTTCAATAACTAGGAGAGCCACCTAGGAGAGAACAGAAAATTAGACAAAAAATGTTTAGGACTGTGCACTAAAACTGTGTAGAAGAGTCACATTAATAGCATTAGCTATAACTAAACATTATAAAATTGACTCCCTTATTAAAACTATTCATTGCTTTAGATTTAATAGACAATGAGGGCCCATATTAAAGCCATGAACCCTACCACTACACTCTCCTTTCAAATTACTTTACAACAGATCCATTTCTTTGAATTTTTTGCACTGTCAATTGCAACTGTCAATTGCACTGTCAATTTGCACTGTAAACTGCATAATGCTGGGAGCTTTTTGTTTGTTTGTTTTTATTTCGGTCATTAGGCAGTAGAGGTTTGCTAGTGGCCCCTGCCTGCCTCTTCTCATGATAATAATAAAGCACTGTGGCCCAGAGGCCAAACCATGGTTTTGTATTATTTTGGAAGAAGGAGGAAGAATGATAAGGATAAATCTGGTGTAGCTTGCCTTCTTCTCAGCAACATTATCTGGGGAATTCTATATTTACTGTGCGTACACTAAATATGAGATGTCTATATAATGGAGCTATGGATGCTGACCACAATTTCAGTGAGATGCAAAAAACTCTATGTTGAATTACTGAAATAGCATTTTGGATATCAAACCGGGCTCTCAAGTGAAGGAAGTGCTATCTGTTACTAACTAATGATGTAACCAGTAAGACCATTGCCTTCTACAGGTAGCCACTTCTTTTCATCCTCTCGTCTATTCATAAGTGAGAAGGTGGAAAGACTTTAATTTCCTTAGCACCTGTTCATAATACATATAATATTAGTTACTGGACGTAATTAAGAAGGCCTTTCTTTGCACCTGGAGGTGAAGCTCCAGCAGCTGAAACAGCATAATTAGCACTGGAGAAACTCTGAGTAGGGATATGCCCATCAATTCCCCTGCTTGGTGCTCTCTCTTCCTTTGCTGCTAAAGCTTTCAGGGTGCTCTCCTCTGAATCCTTGTGTTAAAAAATTAAAGTCTCCACAGAAGCTTTCAAGTGGATGTGCCAAATAAGTGTGATTTGTTTTCCTTTTGTCTAGGAGAGCTACCTCACTAAACACTGGATTAGAAAGTCCAATTAAAAAATATTCACTAAAATATAGTCAGGGATGTATGACCAGTCTGGTTTGGTTTCTCCTAAAGCAGTATGAAGGAAATTTTGAGAGAGTCATGCAGGAAATAGAATATAATCAAAGAAGGAAACATATTTCTAAATTACTAATACCAGTAAAACCTTGCTTATTTTACCAAATGCCTGCAAACATAGTGAGTGCAAAGATATGTGTTCCTTCACACCAGCAAAGCTTCCTGCCTCTTGTTTATGCTTTTGTACAAACGGGCTGTGCTGGTATGAGGGGCTACAGAAGCAGAACATTTTCAGATGGATGCCCTCGGCTCCTGCTCACGGAGATGAACTTCCTGGTACACTTACAAGAAGTGGGGCTGACTTCTCAGAATTTGACACTCAAGCAGCACCAAACACCTACATTGGCTCTGCTTGCAGGGATGTCTTACAACATCTTCCTGTGGAAGGAATAATGATAAAACTGTGAAGGCTTTTCTTCAAAGCAACGCCCTAATTTTTTCAAACATTTTTCCTCCTGGATTTGCACCCTCATAAAGGCAATCCATTTGCTATTTACAAATTTGGGGGTGTCTCATAGGAAAAAAAAACCAGAAAAGAATCAATAGTCATTTAGCTTCCTGTGCACACCTTAGTTGCTTTTTCTGTTGTCATTGAGCAGTAAACACCAATATCAGAAAGGAAGCAGTTTAGGGGCTTTTAGACAGGCAGGGATGATAGGTGCTTTTTTATGACATGTATACTCAAGCAGTGGTTGTTTCAGCCCAGAATGAGTCACGGAGACTCTCTTTTAACTTTCTCAACCTAAAAAAAAATAGTTTTGGTATCTAAACTGAAGACTTAGATTGCACTAAGCAGTCAATGGAAATAAGATCAATCAGCAGGGGACATCTACCCTTAGCAGAACCCATAAAAATATGAGCCCAGATTTTCTGGTTTTGCTGCATTTGCATTGCCCAGACAATGAAAAGAGTTTTCTACCTGATTCCTCTCCTTCATTCCAACCGGGCCCTCCAAAATGCTTTCACAAACAGGTATTTGCTAAGGACACTTTTATGAAACCTGCTTTCATCTGCATTTCTCCAGCACAGTGACAAGAACTTTCATTTCTTTGAATACTCGTGTCATTTTGGGATTCTCCATCTCTTCCTCTGTCAAAGTATTCTTTGTGACATCTCAATCTATTTCAACAGAAAAGCTTCTGCAAGACACTGCTTATAGGTATGTAATCTCAGCTTTGGAAGTGTGTGAGCTTGTAATTTGCATGCAGGACTTTTTAAAACTTTACAATGTCAATGCTGAGAAAAAAAAAAAGTCTCTGTTTTCTCCTGTTATCTTTGTAATACATTTTATTTTTAGCAAGCCCCTTCTCCCATTTCTCATCTATAAATGCTGATGGACGAGAAGACTGATGGTTACAGTATGTGGCCTTTTTTTTTTTCCACTCCATAGGACCTAGGTGCATGAGCTCATCAGGGGCTTTCTAAGTGTTAAAAAAAGAAGGAGGAGGGATTTTTTCTGATTTTTCTTGGTTTTTTTTTTTTTGCCTTGTGGAAGGTCAGTTGCCAGAACTATTTTAATATGCTTTTTTATGCCAGAACTTCATTTTAATATGCTTTTCTCTGTAATTAATCTCCCTTGTATTAACTCTGTCAGGCTGGCCTTTTCAAAGAGTAATTTCACTCAAAGAGTAATTTTAAGAGGATACTCTACTCCAATTCTTTTACTATGACAAGAAATTTCTTCTTCCAAAACCTAGAGTATCATTTTTCCTCCAAGTCTTTTTTTTTCTCCCACCAAGGCTGAATCTCAGTTAGTACTAAAACAACCTCTAAAAATAGTATTTTACATTCTAAAATCTTTTATGAAAAGAACATAAAGAATCCAGTTCAATTTTTTAAAGCCCAGCAATGGGAGTTGGTATTTCCCCGCATCTAGAAGTACCCTGAGCTTCTTAAATTCCAAGGGAAATGTGTGTTTAGCGCCTGTGAGAGCAAATAGCCTCAGACTATTCAGCACCTTCAAACACTTACTGTTCAAATTCAATCCACTACCCTTTCATATCTCAGCTGACTCACATGCAAACTGAAACAACATACTGGGGCTGGGGGTTCTATGATTGGTTATTTTGTTGGGTTTTGCTCTTCAGAAGTACTGTACTACTAAGCACTTACTAGTAAATACTACAGTAGTAAGTGTAGTAAATACTACACTATTTGGAGAGTTGGGAGAGATATTGACAGCTCTCACCTCACTTTGTTGAAGCTAAGCATGAATTAGAGCTTGGCAGACAGAAATCTAGCAACTCTCACCGTTTTCCTTTTCTAACACAAAATGGTTTTCTTATGATTTTCTCTTTGTTCAGTGAGTTACTGCAGAGATGAAGGTGGTTACATTGGAAACATGCGCAGACATGTTTCCAGAATTGGGGCCTTTGTACTTCTCACTTGAATCTTGGGTCATCGCACCATTTTATGGCTGTTTATGCATGCAAATCTGTGTATTAGTTATAACAATATGAGGAAGAAAGGCCATAATATGAGGAAGAAAGGCCAATACAGTAATGCAGGAACCTTGTTTTCAAAGGTACATCTTCTGAACTTCTGGAGAACTGCCTGCTCTGCAGTCATATCATAATTACAAAATATTTACATAACAGTTCACTCTCTGGCCTATTCCTGTGGAGGACTGTCTTGAGGTGATTTTATGGTGGTACTTAATTCCCTAAAGGCCAAGAGAGGTTGGAGATGAAGCAGGAGGCTGAGCTGGGGCCTGGGAAGGCAGGGAGCGGGCTCGGTTCTCTCTCTGGTGCACTTCGGGCTGCGACTTGGACTGTTAGCTCACTGCTTTTGCTCCATCTGCATCCCTGCTTGCTCAGGAAAGAAGCTCTTTTTAGTCTTTCCCTACCTTTCCCCCTGGACTTCAGCAGAAATCATTCAGTGGTTTCTTTTTGGTTTTTTTTCCACTTGATCTGTTTCGGCTTGCAGTCCAGGGAGCCTACGGGGGTGGTGGGAAAGACCCAGGCCAGCAAATAAAGGACACTAAAACCAACCAGTTTCATCTGCTGTGAGGAGCAGACCAATGCCAGAAGCTCAATAGGTTCCTATCTACTTTTTGTCTGAGTTGCTGCATGGATTTTTTTTTTCTTCCCTTTCCTGAGACAAAGGGAGCAGCCACCATCATTGCCCCCTGGCCATGGGGCTGGGCTGGGGATATAAGGTTCAATTTATTTTTTCTGTCTTGTGGGTATCTTGTTTTGTTAGTAAACAGGGTTAGTAAAAAGTGAAGGTCTCCTTCACTTGCACCCACTAGTATTCATTTCTCTCATTGGCAAAAAGGGATTATTGGAGCCCTTCTCTTTAGAGCAAACATTAATTCCAGAGCATTTTCTCCTAAGATCTGTCTCTGAACTGATACAAGTGTGTCTCTCAGTAGTATGCAGTTTTGTACTTTTCTACGTGGAAAACTCAGATGTTTTCTAATTTCATAGACCACAGCTATTTTTGCATGACTATCCCTAAATCTTCTTTTACTTGAGTGCAGCATGGATTCCTTGCGAAATTGAGGTCTCATTCAACAAACTGTTTTCATGTTCTGGTTTAACCAAACAACATGCCAAACTCTGACCATGTTTATTACTTTATAAGTAGTGAAACAACATGCTAATTAAAACAAAAACCTTTTTAAAAATAGAGATTATGTAGGAATGCTACAGTCTTTCTAAGGTATACTGAAATTTGGAAACTACTGGAAAATAAGAGAAAATATATATATTCTCTGGAGCAGTGTTATAAATGAAATTATTTTTAATCTTAAGATATATATTCTGAATAGTTCTAACATACTGAGCTATACTGAAGTTTCTGTCACTAGTTGGCTGCTCCTGTACAGGAAC